TAAAAAAGAATGACAGAAATCTGTACAAACTGATATGGAGTGATTTCCAGGATATATTAAGTGAACAAAAATACAAGATGCAGAGTATATCTATTATGCTACCTTTTGTATAAAAATTTTAAAAAGAAAAATAGTTTTTACTTTTCTGCAAAATTATAGAAATGATATATCTGCAACTAATAAAAATGGTTACCTTTTAGGTATGGGTAGGAGCAGTGGGAAAGAAAGATGGTGGTAATGTTTCTCTGAGTAAACCTTTCTATATACTTTTGACTTTTGAACCACACAACTGCTTTGATGTTAAAAACAATGAAATTAAATAAAAAAGGACAAGGGTGGGAAGACAAATCTTAAAACTGAGACAAATAAACCTAACTGGGTATCAAATTGGTAATATAAGCATACAGAGAAAAGAATGAACCTTTGGCTATGGCATTCTGACTACCCAAGGAGAGAAAAACTGAAAAGAAAATCTTTAACTTAGTAATTTTCTGGTTTGTTAGGGGAATTGGTATTGCAATTCTGAAATTATTTATGTGTATTGTAGGATGGGGCAAATGAAAAAGGCATGGATGTTGGGAACTGGGACTCTCACTGTGGGAGGAAGGAGATAAATACACGGATTGAGGGTGAGGGCAGGAGAATCCTGAGGTGTTGGATTTGAATCCCTATGAGCTCATGCTTTAAAACAGGTAAATTATATTCCCCAGCTCTACTTTCTTGAACAGTCTAGAGGCAATAACACCCCACTGAGCCCACCTAGGATGTATGCCTTAGTGCTGAAATACCACTGCCCCCTGAAAACAACCAGAAATCCTTAGATAAATGGTTGACTTCACATTTGGGGCAACTACAAGGATAGTCCAGAATATTATGTTCTAGGAGCAAAGGAGACTAATGAGACCATATCAAAAAGACCAACTTTAAAGGAATCCCACTAACCATACATGAGATAATTTGAGCATTGAAAAAAATGAGGATATTAATGGATTTTAATGCACTGAATCAAAAAATGATCTATGAGTCAATAGGGATACTGAAAATGGGGAAGGGGATAAGGAAAGAAAAGCTCTTCTATAAAGAAGAATGCTAATTAATACATGCAGAGGGAAAGTTAAGTTTAAAAATCACCCTTTTGTAAATATCTGTGCAATAATTAATTCAGGTGAGGATTATCAAGAAATGCTAAAACCACTGAGTAAAAAGGTGGAGAATAAGATACTCTCACCACCTCAAAGTGTCACTGCACAGATTTGCTAATTTACAAAGGGAAATCATACATTTATAGTGGAAGGAATGAGTGAACTCCATCTCAGCTAAGTCACCAAATCACCAGTAGAGAGGCTCCCTGACATTATGGACCCCTGGACATGACAGACTCGGTAAGAAATATGCATCACCAACCCATGTAGCCCTTTGGACAAACATGTCTCATAGTCTGGTTGGTCACATAAAATCAGGCTTAACATTATTGGAAATGTGAACATGGATTGTCTATTTGATTATTTTTTAAATTAATGCTAAATTTCTTAGATGTTCTATGGAATGTAGGAGAATGTCCTTGACCTTAGGTCATGCATGCTAAAGTGCTTTGGGGTCAGGTGTCAACGATTTCTGCTGTTTACTTTCAGTTAGTCAAAAACAATGTATGTATTTTTGTAAATGATATTTCCATATTAAATACATATACCTATGTATCATACATATATATACATGAACAAAAGAGTTAACAAATGCTGAAGCCTGTTTAGTCGCCTTTCAACAGCTGCTTCCCAGATGAAGCAACAGGGCTCAGAGGCCAGGAGTTGCTCTCTCCAGAGGCACATTGCATCCCAGGCCCGCAAAGCCCCAGAGGTGCTGAAATTACAAATTCTATAAATTCCCCAGTAGACAATGTTGGAGCACAGATGCAAGTGGCAGGAGTCCAGGCAACTCAAGCTAAGAAGTTGCTCTTTGGCTCCCCGAGGGCGTTTGAGATAATGGACTGACGTGGTGTCCCCTCCTCAGCTTGTCCTGGAGGTGAATGAGTTCCCAGCAAACAGAGCTGGTGCCTCTCCCTTCTTCATGAGGAACGGGACCTAATCCTGCACACAGAGGAGGCCTGTGATCTCCTGAGACCTTCCTCGAGCCCCATGGCTCCTGAGCTGGGGCGTCGGGACAGCTACAAGACTGAGAGCCGGCATCGTGGAGGTTGGTGTTTTTACTATGAGAAACTCCACACACCTTGGTAGAGTAGGAATTGATGTTTTATTCATGGTGTTTAATTAAAATTTAACTTTAAAGCATTGTTGCTCTCACATTGTTTTGATAAAGGCTTTATCAAAGTTTATTAAAGAGGCAGAGTTTAAAGATGGGACTTGGGGTGCACTATCGCTCACATAGGTAATCGCCAGAAAGCAGTGGGCAGAACCTCCTGAAGAAATCACCCTGAGCCACTCCTGGGCCAAACCCTATCATTCGTTTTTGGAGTCCTCAATTTTCATGCAGGGTTTCAACAGTGACTCCTCCATAACAACTAGGGGTTTTCCATGGGCACTTGTCCCTAGGCCACCCTTCCTGCCCTGACCCCACTTCTCGCACCGGGCACTGACCACTTCACCGGTCCTTGAGAGTCTATAACCTATTTGCTACAAGCATTTGGGAGTGGACAATTAGAGTGATGGAGAGGTTTCCTAGGGCAGGTGGGTGATTTCTGGGTGCTCAAGCTGGAGAATCCTTTGTCAAGGAATATTTTTTCCTGCGATTTAGTGCAAAGGTAGCAGCTATATTTATTGAAAACTTACAATCTGCTTGGCATTGTTCCCATTTCTTTACATATCTTTCTTTTTAATGAGCACAAAAACCTGTAAGGTTGGTTCTATTTTTATCTCCATTTTTTTAGATCAAGAAACCAAGGAGCTGAGAGGTTCAGCCACTTGTCCCAGATGTACATGGCTCCGGAGTTCACTTTCTCAAACGGGGCATTATCCTCCCTGCTGGAGGTGGGGCTGCACAGTTTGGAGCCAGATCTAGGGATGGTCTGGCTGTTTTGCCAGAAGCTAAACTCAGGGCCACAGCTCTGGGGCTGCAGAATGAAGCTGTGATGAGATGCCCAGCCCTCTGTTGGAGTTTTGGTGGGAATGGGCTCACAGGAGGCAGAGGCCTCAGAGTACCTGGCAAGGCTGATCAAGGGGGAGGGCTGCAAAGAAGGAAGTTGGGGGCCGAGGTGACAAAGGCCAGGTTCCCCACTGCTGGCATCCCCGAGGGAAGCACAGTCTGAGGGGTTGCTGGTATGCGGAAGTTCAAGGTGGTCAGGAAGGCTCTGTCATGAAGGTGGGTTGTGTACAACTTCCAGTTCTAAGATGGGACTTAGGAGAAAGAAGAATCAGGGGACAGGGTGAGAAGAGGCTTTATCTTTTCATTTCTCCTTTCTCTCTTTATGGGACTTTGCAGCTGAGGATGTGGGTCTGGACCCACCAGGGATCCAGGAGTCCTGGGTCACTCAGGAGTGTTGGGTAGGAAACAAGAGGAGCAGACAGGACTGCCACAGCAGAGGCTCTGCCTTAGGTTCTAAGGCTCAACTGAATCCAGCGGAGATATTTGCCTGACGATGTCAGTTCTCAGACCCCTTTCCTTTATAGCATTTTTGTGCCCCTTGACCTTTTGCCTGCATGTGCAGGTAAACAAAACGTCCTGAGAATTTATTTCCCAACCCCTCCCCATCCCAGCCTTAACCACTGGCTGGCAGCTCCCTTTCCTGATCTGGAACAAGAAGGGCACAGAAAGTGCCCCACAGAGCTCGTCTGCAGGCCCAGGCTGCAGCTCCCTTTGCTGGGCTTGACCTGAAGTAGCACCTTAGCTCCCTCCCCTATCCTATCTTGCTTACCCCACTCCTTTCCCAGTCTCCCCTGGGAAAACCTCCTTAATCCATTCGCAGCACACAAACCTACATCCCAGGATGACTCCAGGGAACTAACTAAAGACACCCACAAGGCCAGAGGCAGCACAGCCGAAGGGAAAACTGGCAGAGAGACATGGAGAAGTGTTTCCGAGAAGTTTCGTCCTCCCATAAACGAGATAGCCGCTGTGGTAGAGTTACCAGCCAAGTGCAGGGAGAGCCTAGGAAGGGACACCCAGCCGACTCAGGGCAGTCAGGGACAACTTCCTGGAGGAAGTAGCATGTGAGTAAAGACTTGAAAGATTAACAGCATCTGAAAACAGGGAGGGAGGGGTTGTCCAAGCAGGAGAAATGGCATGGGCAAGGACAGAGCGGCGGGAAAGGTGATGTGTTCTAGGAAGTGCCAGGGGCCTTGTATTCCCGGAGTCTCGACTCCAGAGGTGTATTGGAAGGTCAATTACAGGAAGCAGATTCATCAGAACCTGTGGGGGTGGTCAGGGAGTGGGATGGGATCAGTAGGGGTGCCCAGGCTAATGTCAGGTCTTTATCCTGACCTCCCAGATGTGGTTCACTGAGATGAGGAACACTGAGAGAGAAGCCAGTGTAGACAAGGAGATTAGTTCATTTTTAGATACATTGAGTTTGAGATGCTACAGGATCTACCAGGTGAGTTTTTGGTCCTAGGTGTGTTCAATACGTGTGCTAAGCACTTGATGTGCATTTTCTGATTTTAATTCTTGCAAAATCCAGAGTTGTCTGACTTCCAAACTCAACATGCTTACATGACACAATATACACGTTCTCTTTCGGGAGGCACTGGTTAAGCGTTGGACATAGAAGGTGGTGCCCAGTGAGAAGAGGGCTGGGGGTGTGGGAGGCCCAGTTTGGTTGAGGACTTGTCGGCAGCAGAGTTGCCGTTGTCTATGGGAACAGCGCCCCCTGGAGGTGCACAATGCCCGACCTATATGGTCCTTCACACAAGACCTTGGAAAAGAGTCAGGATACAGAGGGCGAGATTAAAGATGCAGGGAAAATAAAAACCTCACAGCTGACAGGCAAGGCATGACCCTGTGGGCGGGTCAAACACTCCCCGTTCCTGAGCAAGCCCGCCTCCCTTGCTCACCATCCTCCTCCGTCTGTACCACCAGCTCCTCGCTCTCCATCCGGCCCTCGGGGTTGGACAGCAGGAGCCGCAGCCGGATGGTCATGAAGGGGCGCAGGCCCCGCAGAGTGTAGTGGGAGGAGGTCTGAATGACCTCCTCGGCCTCGTACTGCTGCTGGTTGAACACGTACTGGTACTGCACAGTGAGGTTGTAGCTGTGGCAGCGGGTCACTGCATAGCCGAAGGGCTCCCACTGCAGGGTCAGCTGCCGGGCTCGGATGTCCACGATCTCCACGTTCTGCGGGCCGTGCACTGGGTCTGCAAGACACGCACGCAAGACACAGGGCTCTGAGGATACAGTCAGGAAGGTGGGGTGGGTGTCCCACTAAAACTGGGTGGGGAACAACTGTTAAAACTTATCTCAGCCACTCAGGCATGGCCTCCCTGATATTTGTCACAAAGAGGATAATTTAATTAACGTTTTTCTGTAAATCAAACTCCTTTTTCTTACTTAGATACAAGCATATAAAAGAAAACATAATCATATAAAAGGAACACCCGAATCACTGGGCACAAATAAATGTTAACCATTTACATGTTAACCGTATGTGAGCCAAATGTTAACCATAAAAATAAATGCAAAATCGTTATTACATTCTTAAAAGTTCAGCAGGGTACAGCTGAAAGCTGTCTTGGACACTGCCAACAGCACACACGACATTCTGGGGACGTACTAACTTAGAAGGTCGCTGGAGTTCTGACCCTCCTCCTTAGGTTAGATCCGGTCACATCCTCTCTCCTTAGGAAACCAGGCACCTCTCCAGTTACCCACCCGAGGTGCACAGGCTGCAAACCCCACTACATCCCCGGCACACCGCGCTCAGCCTCCCGCCACACTCACTGTGACCCAGGGGCTATGCCGTGGAATTTCCCTCCCGTTCACAGACAACACAGCTCATCATTACTGCAGCAGCCCTCAACCCTTCTTTCTTTCTTCTCCCCTCCAGGGACATCATTCTAAAACCAGATCTGGCCATGTTTTCATACGCTAGTGATGCCCCCACGCCACCCTGCCCCTCTTGGTTCTAGACCCATATGTAACATTGGCTATATCTTATTTTATCATGAATATTGGTTATACTTTACCCAAGAGCAATGGGTGTTTTTATACAAAATAGATGATAACAATCACAATGATTTTTTTTTGACCTTCCTATGTAAAGCTCTTTCTATATTAAGGTTTAGGCATTTGTTATGATAGAGGCCTAACTTCTTTGTGGTCAGCATCCGCGGAAGTCCCAGAGTCGGGTTCTCTCAGCTGGGAGCAGGTAGACACAGGCTAGAGATTAAGTCAGTATTTTCCTACACACTACCTACCAGACTTTACCAAGTTAGATCCCTCTTTTATTTCATCTATGAAATGGTGATTGTAATAGTAGCTAATTGCACTGGGGGGTAGCGGGGAATTACATGAGATGTTGTCTGCACAGCAGTTAGCATAGCACCTGGAACCTCATAAGCATTCAGTATATGGTGGTTTTTCTTCTGCAGTAATAGGCATGGTAATAAAAATAATAGACTTCGTATGCTGTGTCTGTTCTGAAGGTTTAAGTGGCAGTGCTGGGTAGAAACCCTGTGCAAAGTGATGGATTCTATCTTTCCTTGGGTCTCCTCAGATCACTTAGGGTAAGGCTGTCTGTGCACCAATGCAGCAGTAAGAAAGAGGGAAGGGCTCTTGAAGCCAGCTGAGCCCCCTGATCTGTCCCCACGGGGAGAATGTCCTGTGACTTGTGTCTGAGTGTTACCAAGGAACACATTTCAAAGTGCCCCTCTTTGGAGAAGGATGCCAGGAAATGTCAGAGAGCCTGGCAAGCCGGCCCAGACCTGCTCACACACTGCTGGGGACAGTGGGCAGCCTGGCCCTGGATCAGCTGAGGAGTTCACGGTCACTCTTACAGCCTAATTATTCATGTTCACAGGTCCTTTGTGTAAAGAAGAGCCAGTGTCTCCAAAGCAAATGGGTGACTTTGAAAATGTGACATTGAACGAGCTGTTGCTGAGGGCCCATTGTGCTGAGCTCATGTGGAGTGGAAGGGGGAGAGTTCAGTCCCCACAGCTGTGGGGTCGTGGCTGCCACTGCTTGGTTTAGCAACTCAGGATGGCATAGGACAAATGTACAAGCGTGGGGATATGGAGCAGCTGTTTGCCTGGGAAGCCTGAGCGCCCCCCAGCCTTGCCCAGCTGGGGTCTTTCTGCAGGTCCAGATGCCAGAACTCCCCTGGCAGGGAGGCGCCCATCCCTGCTCAGGACCTCGCCGACCTCCTCTGCCTTCAAAACTGACGCTATGCCCCTAAAAGACAGTCGCCCTCAAGGCTCTCTCACCTCACCTTGATAGTGAGAACCATAATTTGAGACCCTTTTACGTCCAAGACTAAGACCCTGTTTTGTCAAACATGTTAAGAGATACCACAGCTCAGGTTAAACATTTATTTTTGGATCTCCAATGAGCCCAAATGAAACAATCAAACAAAACACTGTTCATGGCCAGCAGCCACAGTGCTGGCTGCTATCACCTGCAACATCATGTGACCCTGTAAGGGAAGGGCCAACTGCCAACCCCATTTTCTAGATTAATAAACTGAGGCCAGAGAGGTCTAGGAACTTGTATAGAGTAGCCGAGTGGGGTTTTGAACTTGTGTCCATCTGACTCCATGTCTAGTGTGCAAAGTTGGAAGGTGTGCCTGCCCAGAGGGATCTTGGAAGGTGCCGTGCGTCCACTCCAGGGAGGAACAGCCAGATACCAAGAGGGCCTGAGACCCGGGGAAGGGCACTGACACGAGGCATGTCACAGTCATCAGGGCACTACTGCAAGGAAGCCGAGGACTGTCAGGAAGAGGTGGCCAGACCCTCAGGAGCAGGGCAGGATGTGGGGACTTAATCACATTAGGTGACAAGCTGGCCACTGGCCTGTCTTCTCACACCTGGTCTCCAGCACCTACGGTCTCCCTGCAGCTCACTGGTGGAAGTGCGCACATGGACACCTTTCTGCTCCTCTCAAAGGAAGGAACAGGTGGTCTGCCTTTCCAAAGAGGGCAGGGGTGTTGCAAGACTGCCACGAGCAAAGAGATTCCCTCCCAGAGCAGGAAGGTCCCAGAACAGGGAAGTCACCTGCCTGTCTGAAGCACTTGTGATGGACCATCGTCAGACAGGCCATGGGGAATAGCGGAGCCTGGCAGAGCATAGCTCGAATCCAGCTGCTGGTGCACAGCTCACTAACTGTGTGACCCTGGGCAAGGGCATTTCGTCTCTGAGCCTCCATTTCCACATCTATAAAGTGGAAATCATTGCACTAATCTCAGAGGGCTGCTAATGAGTATAAAATGAATTATAAAGAAAGAGAGAAAATTGCCTTTGCCTAACAGTGGGCATTCCTCTTAGAGAAAATGGCTTTTCTTAGAGAAATGTCTTAAGAAGCTTGTTCAGAGTAGAAGCTATATTCCCAGGGCCTTGGGATCAGTTGCGCTCAGCCTTCAGAAGAGAAAAATGGTTTCACTCATTGGTGGAAATGAGTAGGAGAGGATGCAGGTGAGCAGGAAGGCAGGATATCGGGTGGAGCCCACTTTGACTGTTCTCCAGGTGACCCCTGGATCTTCAAAAGGTCCTCCGAACACCACAAAAGGGTTCACTGTGAATGGAGTTCCTCTGGCTTCTAGGAAGAGCTGAGATCTGCATGCTTCCTTCAGGCCAAATAAGATACCGCTTGGGAACACAGGGACCAGAGGCAAAAGATACTCAGAAAATATGTCCAGGTGGGTTACCGATACACTGAGAAATGATTCTGGGGGTTCCCCAGGCTGTGGAAATCAAGAAGTTCAAGGAAATCTCCTAGCCCTGGCAGGCTGAGAACAGGTCTCTGGCATAGGGAATTGAGGCCAATGAAGAGATGTGACTTGTCTACGGCCACACAGCCAAGTCCCGAGCTCTGGGCTCCCAGCCCATTCAGCATTTGTTACACTTTCTAGGAACTGCTTGCTCATGTATCCAACACTCCTCCCAGGCTGCAAAAGACCATGTTCTGTTTGTCCAGCAACCCCAACATATGGCACAGGGTCTGTCGAGGGGCCAGTTCATGTTTGTTAAGCTGAGATGAACAGATGGTGACCTGTTCTTGAGAACTGAGCTCAGACCCTCTGGCTCCACAGTCCCTGTTCTGTCCCCTCCACCATGTCACTGAGTCTTTAAGGTGAACGTATCTGTTTTTGCATTCAAGCAAAACAATGTCCTGAAATCTGACACGATGGCAACGAGTTTTCAAAATGTGTGATGGAAGCAGGCATGCTTTCACTCTGACCCCCTGAAACCTCAGCCACTGAATCCAGCTGCTGCTCCAGTAATTGCCGATAGCAGGGGGAGAGTCTCAGGTTTACACTGGGGCTGGTGCAAACAAGCTGGAAATTGCTGAGAAGTCATGTGTGTGCAGTGGAGATTGGTTTGTTGAATTTACATCCCCTGTGTAAATATGTCCAAGCCCAGAGCATGTGGTTTATGCCTCCAGATAGGGCCTCATCCATATGACCTTAAGGAACAGCCAATGAGACGACAAACAGTGGGAAGAGAGTGGCTGGGTCTGAGAAGCTGGAACATCTTCTCTTTGGAATGTCTAAGTGACTCAGCCTCTGGGTAAACTTTCTTTGTCCTTAGACTTGGCACCAGGGACCCTGTCCTGAGCCCTGTACATTAAGGGGCCCACTTTGGGCCTCTTCAGACCGTCCTCCTGGAGCAGAAGTCAGTGGTCCAACCTGATCCCTGTGATTCCCATTCTGAACCAGCCTCCAGGGACATGACACCCCAGAATTCCCTGCCCCGCTGCCCAAAACTCACTTCCATGGCCTGTGTGAACCTGTTCCTTGGTCTGTCCTTCCAAGATCAGACCACCCTCCATGTGTGCTCCCCTAGGCCCAAGGGGTGACCTAAGGGTGACTGTGGTGGGGGGGAGTAGACAGAGTTTGGACAAGGGTGCTCAGGGCTTCTCACATGTGTGCACGAGGCCTTTTGTGGGGGGATGGAGTCAGGCAAAAGCAGAAGGGAAGGGGCCACAAGGTCTGTTTGTGTTCTTGGCCCAGACCCACTGGTACTCCAGTACGGGTTAGGAGCAGGCGCCTGCTGTGGGTCTGTCATGTCTTCAGAAGCTTCCTCATTCCCACAGCTGCCCTGCAAGGCAAACCGGTCCTCTGAACCACTGAGAACTTCTCTGTTTTTCATGTTGGATTTTACCAAAGTACCATTTCTTCCTGAAATACCATTTTGAACCAAATACC